CTTAAAAAAAGGGGGGGGGGTAATCTAGTCACCACCACCCAACGCAAGTCTTGGACTACTTTAATCAAAACTTGGGGCTTGACAGTCACTGTTGTAACAAACTCACGGCTTTGCTCTAGTAAACAGGCACACCTTTAATCCTTACTACTATGCTCCCGTAACGTTAACAGGCACATCTTTAATCCTTACTACTATGCTCCAGTAAACAGGCATACCTTTCATATTAACAGGTAAGCAGTATCTCACATAAAATTTACGTTACTATATACTTACATATATATGTAATTGAACCTGTGATGCACTAAAATGTTTAACATTTAGTAATTGTGGCATACGGGTTTGTTTTTTGTTTTTTCTACCTGTATATGTACGGATGTAGGGAGAAGTCAAGTACCACAGGCAAGAGGAAGAGTGGCAGGGTCTATGACATTTGATATCGGTGGTTCTCAAACATTTTCAGGTTAAGTACTTCTTCAGAAAGTTCATTTACCCTATTACCCTAACTGTATGCTATAATCTTTGCTATTATTGTTATTTTTGCCTTTTCTCTTTCTCTCTCTCTTTTGTGTGTGTGTGTGATTACGTCTTAATGTTCGACTCATGGTACTCTTGATATTGTTCTAACTTGTTTAACCCTCAACTTGCCGACTTGTTTATTGGTGTTATCACTATTGGTGTTATCCACTTATTACATCATATTTACTAATTTTATGTTTTTTTTCTGTCCAAATAAATTAGGTGAAATAATTCATTTTATAATCAAAATACAAAGAAAATCTCAACAACAATTAGTGGGATTAGCTGTAATATTGATGGTAATTTTCTATACATTTCTTTATTTGGCTATAGTTTTATAAAAGATTATGTAGCCAACAAAGTCAAAATCCACAAGCAATGTCGCGCATCAATAGTTTAGGAAAATGTTTACAATCCAATGAGCTCCATCGGTAATTCTCGGCCCGACATGGCCAGGTGGTTAGGGCATTCGACTCGCAATCTGCGGGTCGCGGGTTCGAATCCCCGTCACACTAAACATGCTCGCCCATTCGTTGGTAAAAGAGTATCCCAAGAGTTGGCGGTGGGTGGTGATGACTAACTGACTAACCTATAGTCTTACAATCCTAAATTAGGGACGGCTAGCGCGGATAGCCCTCGTGTAGCTTT